ATATAAAATATCTCCAAATAAACTCGTTGCTCGTTGGTGCAATAGTAGCAATACATCAACAGATCGAGGGTTCGATGCCCACCGGGTCCAACATTTTTCTAATCAATTTGCACTTTTGTTAAGCATGTTGGTCTTCGTCTGAAAATCTGAATATTAAATGGTAATCCACAGATGAAAAAGCCGTGAAGTTCAATCACGTTTCGGTTTCAGTCTGTGCATCGCATCTTTTCTAGATGCTATAGGCTGACGTATTTCACCTTTGAAGTCCCTGTACTTGTTTGACCATGTCTATCATTAAAAAAGTGCGAACTACTCTAGAACATCTTGTCCAATTACTAGAGATTGAAATTTTGTGTTTATTAAGCGCGTTGTGCGTAGAAAAATATGTGCATCCTGCTTATCTATGATTCCCTAGTGCGAATCTTAAAGCAATTCAATTCAAATAGTTTTCGCACGTTCTCCAAAGGCCATTGTTTCCTAAGCAGCGTTTTGCTCTAATCTGTTTGTGAATTGAAAATGCTCTTTCCGGCGTCTCTTTGTGTATTCTCTGCCCACGATGCTTGGGCAACCCGCTTTTGCATAGTTGGCTGCCACAGTTCATACCACGCGAACAGTAACGACAACTTTTCGTGTATTACTCATTTCGTGTGTTTTGTAAATGTGTAATTAAACAATGTCTGTAGTTTACGCGACTATTAAAAATTTAAATAAAACACTTTAACGGCTTAAAACGCGATATTTTAGTGAAACTTGATATTCGGCTGCTGCGAAGCATCCGAAACGACAGGCCGTAGTTAAAATGATTTTTAATATAAGTTTAACTACTATATGTCTCGTTTTAAACCGTTACAGTGTTTTATTTAAATTTATTCAATCTGTTGATACACTTTGTAGGATAGTGTAATTTTTCAAACAATACAACACCTTAAATGCTTGGTTAATAAAAATAAACACAATGTGTGTGTGGGTTTGTGTGTTTTGAAAACAATTAAGAAAAAAAAAACAATCATGTTTAGTCTAATCTATAGACATACATTAGACTAAACATGTTCGTACATGCATTAATAAATAATAATTCTTAATATCCCCCCTTGACCAAACTGTTCCAAAACATCCGTAAGTTTGGGCGTAGTTAACTAATACATTTCTCGTTTTAAACTGTTAGAACGTGTTTTATTTAAATGTGTACTACTGCCGTAGACTTAATAATTTTTGTACGTTTGTTAAATTGTAATACCGATCTTTTTGATGGCAAAGCCACAGCTGAGATAGGCATTAAAAAAACAGTCTGGATAATCTTGAATAACTAAAGCGAGGCTTGGCCGTACACTGTGGTCCGTACGTGTCAAGAACTTATATTGTTTTAGTATATAATATGTATATAGAACAAGTGGTTTTTTTTTTGCTCAAACGTACTTATTACACTGGCTTGCGAACTAGGAATTTGAATACCTATTCTGTATATATGTTGTGCAACGTGTGGGATTGGGTAACTAGAAGACGAGGTGGGTTCGAATATGGGGGATAAATGATATACAATAGGCCAAAAATAAACCACTTCGCACAAAGTAATACATATTTAGAATGAGTTATGAATCTGACGAAGTTCTTAGAAGCTTACCTCACCATTCCCTCCAATTCGTGCATGCGTGCAGTGTAGTGCATTCGACAAATTCGAATTAGCACAGCATACATACTTAAATAGCACAGTGCACCAAAACAATGGCGGCACTTCCCGCGTTTTTAAAGCAAAATTATTTCCACCTTGACCAAACAGGTAACGTTAAAATTACGTCTATCAAATTACTGAATAAACTATCCATTGTTATGGAAGTTATCTGATTCGTACAAATTCGCTCCTTTATTATCTTTGTCTGTCGAAGTTTTCAAATGTTTTTACGTACACATGACGTGTTACTAATGTCCAAATTGCAGGATGAAAGAACAGCAGAGAACACACTAGCTGAAGCCGCGACTTCGTCTGCATAGATTAGTCAATTCGTACCCGTAGTGTCTAAGATTAGCGCGTTCAAACAAACTCTTCAGCTTTATATTTCAGTATAGGTTAGTTGTAATGTAAGAATCTTTTTTTATGATAAGGAGGACAGCATAAGTAAGTTTAGTCTTTTCAAAAAAATCCAAATCCTTTTTTTAAAATCCAAAGCCAAAACATATATATAATTTTACCTTTCATCAAGAGAAGCCTAGTCAGTTCTCCTACCATAATAAAGGAACGATTAATATAAATAAAACACTAACGGTATGAAACGCGATGTATATTAGTTGAGAATTATTTTAACTGCGACCAAACGTTTCATATGCTTTGCAGCAGCCGTGGTCACGGGGAGACTAAAGATGGAGGGTGTCTCTGATGTCAATGTAACTCGTTGGCATTCGGCAAAAACTGGCCGGGTCCTTGCAGAATTGACTAACGTTGTTTTTGTGTTTCGGGTTTGCTGTTTATACCGGCAAACGCATCGGGCCGTGGTTGAAATAATTTTCAAATAAGTTTAAATAATATAAATCGCGTTTTAAACCGTTAAAGTGTTATGAATGCGTATTACTCGCTTAAACTAAAGACAGTATGAAGGAAAATTAACTCTTCACGAATTCCTCGTTAATATATCTAATAGGTCCTAATCTCATAAAGTGTTTTGATAAGATCTTGCGCGGTCACACAAAATAGGGGTCACGCAAATTGCTCTTATGCAAAAGCAAGTGTCATAATTATATGTAATGCGATACGATAATGATCACGTTTGCAAGCCTTACGCGACTTCCGTTATCTAATACGAAATGCCATGAGAATTTCATACAGCATTGTTGTGGTACAATTAAGTCGAGAAGTGAAAGTGGACAGGTCGAGATAATCTCGGGACATAAGTGCTATTGCGCACTGTCGACTAGTCGCCGGCGACTGTCTCCCGCGACTGTAAGTTCCTATGGTTTAAGAGCCATTACGCACTGTCGGATAGTCGCCGGGGACTCGGTCTCTCGGCGACCAAAGTGTGAGTCGCCTCTACACGGTGAGTCGCCGAGCTGCCTAGGCGACCGACGATTAAGTCCCCATTTAAACCATAGAAACTTATAGTCGCCGGCGACTAATCGACAGTGCGTCATGGCTCTAAGTCGTTATGATTTGACGCGACCGACGTCGTGGGTAACAGCTTAAGTTTATAAAGATAAAGGGTTGTAAAAACGTTTCTGGATGCCCAAAATAAATATTCTTAGCGGACGAAGTCGCTGGCAGAGCTAGTAGTTATTAAAACGTTTAAGGGATTCAAACGGGAAACATATAGCGCAAATATAACAAGCATTCGAAACGTCGGGTCTACTAACCTAATCTATTACACGATTAATCCCTTAGAAGTGTTTTATTTATAAACTTCAAAATTTTCACATATTATTGCACAAGATAGCATTATATATATTAAGAGTTTGATTTTAAATCAAACTTTACGACAAGGGCAGGACTTGATCGGACATCCACAGCGTCCCCTGTTGTTGCTCTAACCAACGAATTGTAAAAGATGCAGACACAAACACCCAAGTTATTACCCTAGGTATTTAGATTCACGCCCTGATGTCGGATATTGTAAAGCGCCATCCATTGGTATTGCACGTGCATAAGTACGAACAATATTAGTTTTTATTTTATAAGTCTGCTATTGTCTTTATTTAATCTGTAATGTACGCGAGTAGGGCACATTTAAATAAAACACTTTAACGATTTAAAACGTGGAGTCTCACCGTGACCACGGCTCCTGCTAAGCCTTTGAAAGGACGGGCCGTACCTAAAATAATTTTCAAATAAGTTTAACTAATACATTTCTCGTTTTAAATCGTTAAAGAGTTTTGTTTGAATTTATTCAATCTATTGATACACTTTGAAGGATAGTAGGGAGGCTCCTTTTTTTACAATACGACATCTAAAATGCTTGGTAAATGGCTTATCGGTTCGTCATAGTGTGTGATGACGCAATGGAAGATCCTCGCCTTGTCATGCTGTTTTTTGTCATGACACACTCAAACCTATAATAGAAGCGGGTCAGTTTAATTTCTTTCAGCACCAGTCTCTGGATTTCTGAAAATCCAAAGCCAAAATAGATCGCCAGCGCATGTAGGTTGCAGTGCAGTGTTGAGGTGTTACATGGCGAGGTGATTTCACCTGCCATTTAGGAGAGTAGCATTGGGACTGTCCCGATGTTCTGCAAACTGAAATACTTACCATATCATTTTAGATAATTCAATGACTGGATGTAATTATCCAACGAACGTTATCCTGTTTCTGTTTTTCTAACATATTCAAGTTGAATTAAAACAAGGCATATTTAAACTTCGTATATTATAAAATCTCAATAGAACTTGTGAGTTGAAGAATCAAAAATTTTATTTGGTCATAGATTTTATCAATATGATAAAAGTGAAAAATCTTTTTGACATAGACAAAAAGGTGGCATCTTTACATGTTCAAAGATTTCCAACTGAGCGGCCTCTTAGTGTGTCAGGGCACTCAATTGAGCAATTGAGACGAGACGATTTGTATTGTTTATAAGAATGTACAATTAACTCTAACAATAAAGCTACAGCTTATAAAAGGAATACATACAAAACTAACGATAAGCGGATCGACATTGCGCCGAATATCCAAAAATAATAGCTGTTGCATTGGAAGACGTGGTAAATTTTACTCAGTAAATCTTCGAAAGCACTCTGGTTATACGCGTATAGTCGTAGCCATCGAAGATTCACTTATTCACTCTGGTATTCCATAAATAGGCGCACGCAAAGCTGATTACATTCGCATCGATGTACTTCGCTGTTGTAGCATTTCGACAAAACATAGCTTTATGTGAATGAAATTCGCCCTTGCGTACGCCAATCTTTACAATAACATCGGATTTAACAAAACCTTCGGTACCCTGGTAACAATTAGTTAACAAATGACTATTTCGCGTTTCTATATGTACAAAATTGCGCGGTCCCTACATCCTACCTAATTAGTCCCATCCGTGGTGTTCGTGGTGGTCATGGTGGTCGTGGTGTTCGACCCACACTTTCTCTGTGACAGGAAGCCACGAGCATTTCCACGCTGGTATTTCCACCGAGTGCCATACGGGCACTTTCACTTCTTTGGTTTTCTCGAGCCATACCTCCTTTTTCACTGGGACCCACACCTCCTTTTTAACGGTCTTCCACGCTTGCACCTTCTCTTCGACCCACTCTTGTTTCGTTTCCGTGACCCATTCTTGCTTCTTCTCTGTTCTCCATATTTGTTTTAGCTCCTCTTTCCATTCAAGTTTCTTCTCAGTTACCTTTAAAAATAATTTATAAATAAATAATTTTTTTGTACGTTAATCTTATAACTATTTTCAGATTGGCTTATGATACTGATAGTTTAAATGTTTAGAAATAAAATGGATCATTTAAATTATCTCCAGCTAAAAGTGAAAGTTTGTATCTCTTCGCTTTTATTGCATCTTCTTGAGTTTAAAAGAAGTGTATGCGTAAAGTACTCCTTTGTTTACTTATGCATATATGTTATGCATGTTTTATTTTGTATATGTAATTCTATGTATCCATGTTCTTATGTCTATGTTTGTGCAATAAAGAGTTTATTATTATTATATTTCAACTATAGTCCGATGTAAGTTGCAAACCCGTGTCTAAAGCATGCAGCTTTAGACACGGGTTTAGAAAAACGTTATCTAATTTTAAACCGTTATAAAAGTTTTACTTAGAAGTCCTCCTTTCTAATGATTTTCACTCCTTAAATTGTAACATTTTATTTTCTAACACTTGTATTGTTAAGACTAGTCTTAAACATAGTTAAGATTACATTTGTATATACTTTAAGTATATTATGTGTTGCTACAAATATTATAAAACTCAAAAATTTGTTTGTTTGTTAAAAATGATTATGTACTTGCTGTGCCCGCAACTTCGTCCGTTTGGAATAGTGACTTTGAGAAGAATTTTTAATTATTTAGAGCAAGACACATGTGTAAATTCAGGGTTACAGTGTCTTAGAGTTACTTTCGCATTTATAATATTAGTAAGTTCTATAAAAATTAATTACGATAATCCACACAACTTTTCATCCCTCATTCAACCCCTTACTACCTTTTTTTCGTACAGCAAAATGTTTTACAACGCATGTCATGGAAAGGGCATTCAAGGCAGCCAATCTGTGTTGTAAATGCTACTTTGCTGCAACACTCCCACTCTCACTCCTACACTCATTCCTACTCTATCTCCCACTTTTACTCCTACGCTCACTCCCACTCTAACTCCTACACTCACTCCACTCCCACTCCCATTCCCATTCCCATAAAGGCAAAGAAGAAAGTTTCATTGTTCTAGCTTCGAAATCACGAATTTTTATACACACTTTCATCCCCCTTTTCTACCCCTAAAAACCCTTTTTTGGCATTAAAAAGTAAAAGCCTCGTTCTTTCTCGGCGTTTCGGCGTTAAAGCCGGACAGACAGACAGACAGAGTTACTTTGGCAGTATAGATTGATTGGACTGTTAAACGAGGATGGAAGAACTTTAGAAGAACATCGAGCTCTAGTCAATACGAGCGTAGGAACAGTGAAGTCTTTTTTAAATTTAATTATTATATCTATGAGGGATTCCGTTGCGTGCTTTATGAAAACCATATAATTGTTTAACTTTTAAGATTAACTAGCAGGAACCACGGGAAGATATTTTTTATTTTTGAGAAAATAAATACTCAACGCGAACGTAGTCGCCCGAACAGCCATATGGCTAAAGAATGTCTGCCAGTTATATTATAAGTTTCTAATGATCGTGTCTAAAACTCTTTTTTATAATCTTTTGCTATGAGAAAAACATTACCCATTCCTGCTTTTGTTCCTCCCTCCACACTTTCTTCCAGACGGGACGCCACACTAATTTCTTCCTCCAAAGATCGTGGCTGGTATATTCCCAGCCGTGTTCATCTTTACCCAAATACTTCTCTCCGGGCACACCCTCTTTGACCCATTCTGGAACGTGGTTGAGTTTGACTTCAGGAACTTTCACTGTCTTGGTAACTGGAACTTGAATTTCACGCCACACTGGTTTGTAGACCTGGAAATTTTCTATTAATTACAAATTTGCTAAAACTACAGTTGAATTGTTTGTACTATTTATAGCTGGAGGCACGTCTTAAATGTCGCTTACGACCTATCCGTAGGTCGCAGGTTCAATACCCACCGGGTCCAACATTTTTCTTATCAGGAATAATGTTGGATTTATGAAAATCTGGATATTAAATGTTTCGTAAGAATATCGAAATTCCCTCCGGTCCACGAAGCACCGAATTAAAGCTTATATGATACCAATGAATTAAGTAGTGTCTGTTATTCACGGTAGTGAAATGTGTACTACATTTCAATAAAGCACTTTTAACGGTTTAAAACGCGAAATATATACGTAACCTGATTTCAAATTTATTTTGACTACAGCTCGATAATTTGGATTTGGCGAGGAACTAATATATTCCCCGTTTTGACTGATAACGTGTTTTATTTAATACCGTATGTTTATAAATCATATAAACATATATGCTCAACTCGTTGAAAGGCGCTAATATATAATTATTTTAACAATCGTACACCGATAATATAGAATAAAAATATATATTTTTATGGTTTTCTCTCCTAACATTTTTATTCTATTTATTATATATAGGCTATTTTTAACAAAAATGTAAAGTTTTTCTGCTTTGTGTCCGTTTAATAGTGCCGTTCTGCTCAAATGTCGAGCGTGGGGCATCACTGAAAATCGGCGTTGTGCCTACATCCAGGTACAACAAAAGCTGAATGGTGTCCCTCCAAATACGTTTATTTTACTATTTATTTTAATGTATTTCTATTCGTGGAAAAATAATTATATAAATTGTACCTTCTTCCAATCGGGAACTTGGATTTCCTTGGTTACTGGCACTTGTATGTGCTTGGTCACGGGTTTCTTCACGATCTTCCAAACTGGGACTTGCTCCTCCCTCCACTGTTGCACTTGCTCCGTCTTCCAAGCGGGGATCTTTTCCTTCACGTGCTCGATCTTCCATTCTAGCTTCTTCTGTGATTTGTAGAATTTCTTGCAATCTTTGCGCCATACGATTTTCTTCTCCCAGACACCTTTAGGCTCTGAGTGCCATCCGAACGGTGACCGCTTTCCCCTGGATACTTCAGCGTTTTCTTTAACGGGCACAGCTACAGCTGCGGCGATGGCAACCGCCAACAATAACTGCAAAAGCAAAATTATGCTTACTATCTTAAAATCATATTAAATTAAGGCGTGTTTTCCTTTATAGTATTAATCTATATAACACAATAGTGTCTATGCCTTGCTCCATACAAACTTCTACTATACCATCTACATATAACTGAGCTTAGTCAAAACCTAATCTTGGCTTTTAATATACGCAATGCCCTAATGTTTGTTTGGGTTCCTTAAAGTGTTCCTTTAGTTATAAAATTACAAAACATAATTCACGTAATGAATATCTGTACAAAATAGATAAGAAGAATCTCTCTCTCGAAAAAGTTGAGAAAATATTGTGGAAACTATGTTACAATATTTCCTCTTAGATAAGAGTTAATAAATATTAAACGCAGTTATCCATGTATGGCTACACTGTTTAGGTCTACGACGCAAAAGTATACTATATAGATAGTAAAGTTTTTTTTACTTGAAAGTTCACTTTTCACTTGAAACCGTAAGGGAACCGTTACTATAAATTGCGTATACATTCGACCGTTTCTTATATATATATAATATGTATAAAAAAAGCTAAGTCGAACATCTGTATAATAATATTTCAAAATTATTTGATTGAAACCTTCTCTAAACATTAAATTGTCAGCTTTTTATTTAATAGCTTCTATTATTAAAACTCTATAAGCATTAATGCTATTTATAGACTTGTAGAGCTTTTTAAGTAAAGTTTCCGCACGTATTAGTTACAAATGATTGTAAAAAATGTAAATTCAAAACTTTAAGTTCAAAAGCGCGCAGCTAAAGTACACAGCCTTACAATAGAAACAATTGCTAATCCTAAACGAATCGTATCAACGCTTAGTTGATTGCACTTCTAAAGTAGTCCAGTACACCGTACAATAAGCGTTCCAAAGAATAATATCACGTTAAAATAAATCACATCACACCACCACACCCACCGTAAGAGCCAGCGACCTCATTTTAGTGAATCGGACGCCGTCAAAACTGCCACTTACCTTTGGTGCGCGCGCGCATCTATATATTAACGAGCCCCTCTCTTCGCCTCCTTCGCAGAGGATGGTCGATTGAGAAAATCACTAGAGATGAGTTCAAAGGTTCTTGAAGTTTGCGCTGATGCATTGCCTCAATAATTGGAAATGCATATGGCATTATATGCAAATACGAAAGGTAGGTGAATTCTGCGTTAGGGCTGTATTTTCATTATTATAGAGGAGGACGGACCACCATTGGGCTCACTCGATGGTAGGTGTAGTACCCCAGGCAAATAACATCTGAACATGATACGATAACAGATCGACAGCTATTTTGGCTTTGGATATTCGGAAATCCAGGCGGAATTTCCGACATTAATCCAGATTTCCAAAGAAGGTCCAACGGTTACAGGAAAAATATTGAGAGACAGGGACCGAACCTACGACCCGTTGACTGTTAGCCATACATTGCTACTATACTGTATGTATAATAATCAGTGTTGCCATTTATTTTTGCTAAGTCGCGATTTTGAAACTTTTCCATCTGATGATTGAAGAGTTTTTTTTTTTAGTTTTTGTTCAGAGAAAATTATTTTAATGTCTCGATTTAAGAATAATATATTACAGAAAAAACAAAAGGTACACACACGGCTTAAGTGTTTTTCACTGTACCAGTTGATTTTAATATTTAGTTTACGAGAGAAATACATTTAATTGAATCACTATTTACGGTTTAAAACGCGTAATGTATTAGTTAAACTTATTTCTTTCAGGGGGGCCGTGCTGTTGCAAAGCATCGTAAACATCGGACCGTTGTAAAACCAAATATATGAACTAGTATATTTTGCTATGTTGCGTTTTGAACCGTTTTTGTGAAGGTTTTTTTTTTTAAATTCAAGTTTGTTTAATCTAAGTAAGTAAGTGGTCTTGTTTTCTAGGTAAAAAGTTTTAGATTTTTATCATAGGTTTTAATCAAAAATGAATATGGAGTAAACGGGATTTCCCTTTTTTCCAATGAAAAGCCTTACTTCCTTATCTCTCATAATATAGTATATAGTGTAGTGAAAATCCCGTGTCCCCCTTGTGGGGCACGGGGCGAACATAATTCTGTGTCCGTTTCACTGATTCGTTCTTTAACACGCAAATAGTTGAGCAACTTCTGTGTCCTGCCCGACCGAAACATTTTTTTTGTTTCTCTGGGATTTGAACCCAGGACTTATCGTGCTTAACACACTGCTATCTCTCATATTTCAGGCGTAAAATCTGAATATTGTTCACGAATGTGCCTCTACGCATCTTCTACTCATATCTAGATATAGAAGAACCGACAATTGATCATTGCCTAGGCGGTGAGGATACGTACATTTTATTAAACTTAAAAATCATTACATATTTGTGTCCGTTACAAGGTTTTCGCGTTTCGGTTTCAGCCTGTGATACATTCAAAGCCAAAATAGGCCGACAGCGCATTTTAATTAGACGTTATACGGCTGGGGTATTTCATCTACCCTCAAGTGAGCCCCGTGATGTCTGTTCTCCTTTACTTGAATAAAAAAAGGCGTCTTGGCTTAGGTTATCGATCGTGAAGAAACGGACTCAGAAATGTCTGTCCCGGTGTCCCGACACGGGTGTTTTTACAGATACATTCCAATCGATCACACGATTATTTATTTATTTCACACTTTACAGGAATGTGAAATAATTATTTAAAACAGAACACACAGATACACTATGCAATTTTAAGACTATGGAGTGTACCGGGCGGCCTTATCGTTATAAGCGATCTCCAGGCAACCCGAGTAGAGAGAAATTTAATAAATAAAATAATAAACTTAATAAAATAATGCGGCGAAACTATATTTAAAAGATTTTGATGTAAAAATATGACCTGTCCAATAAAAAATTCATCAGAATCGATTTCGTTGTTTAATAGGTGGTCGTGGAGGTTTTAAAGGAAGCCATTTTCTAGTATCGATGTCAATGATTTGTCTAGAGCGGACCAGTCTTGTGATGCAACGATGGGGTGAATCCTCTAGTAGGTGATATGAGTCGCTAGTAAACAAAAAAATTACTCCTACGAAATCATTATCTACATAACTCAATTATAAAAAGCGTCGACTAGGATTACGTTAGAAGAACTATTAACACGGGCGAACACATTGTGTCCGATTCACTGATGGGTTCTCCATGCAATTAGTTGATCACACGTCTGTGCCCTGCCCGAGCGAAACAATCTATTGCTTTCCCGGGATAACTCATTTGGGGGATGACTAGTCCCTCCCCGGGTTTAACCATATCATAAAAACTATAAACGAGTGGCGGCAAGTTTCTTGCCAGATCTTCTCGTTCGTTTTACGCCTTTGACTTGAGAAGTGATGGTAAATGTAAAGTTAGAGTCTTTAGTTTTTAACCAGTGTGACATTGATAAGTGTAGGTATGTGAATAAATGATTTTTTACTTTGACTTCAACTAATTCGAAGATGGTATTTGGCAAAACTGGTCGGGTCCATGCAGGTCTTCTGCAGTTGTTAAAATTGTTTTCAAATATATTTTACTAATATACATCGCGTTTTAAACCGTTAAATTGTATACTGTCTATAGTTAAATTAAAATGTTAAAATAAATTTAAATTGATTTATTTAAATGTGTGTGACAGAGTGTATTGTATCAGCAACTAGTGCAAGTAGTGTAGTTCCAGCAGTGAATTAATCTTTGTCAGCATAAAATATCGCCTACAAAAGGATTAGACACCCGAGGCTTTGCGGCAACTATGTGGTTAGCGTACTACAACCAACTCCTTGGAAGTATAGGCAACGTACGTAACACATTCCTTGATTCAAGGAAAAACGAGTAGGTATTCTCTTAAGGGCCTCAGTTCGTTACGTACATAGCTTTCGTTACGTATAAACAGACAGTTAAAACAAGCTCGAATAAATAATTTATTTCATATTATTTATAATGTTCAATATTATAACTCACTAGCTACGACAAACGTTTTCTCGGCTGCAATATTAATATTTTATATACATTATAAATCGATTTTAGATTGCAAAAATGTTTTACTTTACTTACTTTTTATTAATATACGTAATGTTGATAGCAACTTAATTACCATAGAACGGTTCTTGTGAGTTAGTCTTAAAAGAAAGACTTTTTTTAATCACGTAAAGAGTAATTATTCGTTTATACATGTAGGTATTTTGCTTGAACTGTTATCGCAGTGCACGCAACGGAAGCCAGATGAAAGTAGATAAAAATCTAATATACACTAAATACTATATTTTTTTAATATAACTACAGTCCAAAACGATCATATACTTATTTAGCAAAAGTTCTCAATCGTCTTCTATCATAAATGGTAAAAACCTTACTTTTACGAGGCGTACCGGATTTGATTCTTGATTAAACATAATTGAGTTTTACGAACAGATATCTAACCACTTGATTTTCTATGTTTCGACTTGTAAAAAATGTTATGTCCCAAGTCCCACTTCAAACGTCGTCACTATTACAATGATCGAGCAGTTTAAATTGTGAAAAAACTAACATGCAAACAAATAAATAATCACTTAATGTAACCACAAACATGGCAGCCTTTTTAAAAGCGACTTCTTCCAGCCAACCTTGTAGATGAGTTTGTTAGTTGGCTTAAACGCGCTAATCTCAGGAACTACTGGTTCGAATCGAGGAAGGTTAAAGGTACGCTACAAAGCATCGACTAATGGGAGCGAAGAAAGAGTGGGAAATGAGAACGGAGAAAATTATTCATATCTGTGGGTTTCCGATGCGTTCGCTGCAAAAACGATTCTAGATACCAAAAAATATCTATGATAGAATGTTTCTTCCTTAAATGAACTAAAAGGTCCGCGATACTGAAAAATACTGAGATCTTAGGAATGCTTTTGGCAGCTAAACTTATGAAATGAAAAGTTCCGCGTGCCAAAAAATATTCCGTCTCTAAAATCAGGTAACTAGGAAATGTAACAACTGATCTTCAATTGAAAAAAAAATTTTTTTTGGAGGTTAGTCTGATTGCAAATAAATCCAGTTATAGTGGTCGTTCGTAAAACCGCAGACTGAAAGGAAACGCGGTTAAACTTGAATGCTTCTGTAGACGGTGTGTCGTGTCCCGGACGGAATTTATATATAAAACATTCCAACTGCTCATTTAATTAGAAGCTTTGCTTTTTAGAAGTTAAACATGTTTCGGAAATATATAAATAGATTATATGTTGCACCTGGTGGGGATCGAACTCACGATCTGTTAGTCGTGTATCAGAAAGTACAAAAAGAAATGATTCAAAATATATGCTCAAAATCTTTGTATTTCTAGATCTCATTAAAAACTGAGTCTCTGAATGAAAACTTACTGTTTTTCACTTGTTATTCTAGAATATTCTATTTAACGTTACGTACAAAAATATACTCATAACCAAGTGTTGACATACTAATGAATAGAAGTTAATTTGTCACTTTAATAGCTTCTCTTTGGTAGCTAAGAAGCACGATTAATTCGTACATAATTGAAAAGTTAACAACATAAAAGTTTCGGAGCATTGCGTTAACTGTTATAAGACATGTTTAATGCGTGTATAAAAAAGAATTCTATAGTCATATACCATTTTCTGCTCACAGAGTTAGTTAAGAGAATGAGTAGCTTATTTCCTACTTAAAGTTAACAAAAAGTATATAAGTTTGAAATCTAAAAAACAAAACTTTTTTACAGAGATAACCAGGAAATTCACTCAATCTAAGTTCTTTTTGAAATAGGACGGCAGACAAGCGAGGATCACTTGGTACCAGGTGAAATATTAATTCGTACAACATCTAACCAAGATGCGCTGTCAGCCTATTTTAACCTAAAACTGAAATCTAAATAACCTTTTTCTATAAATAAAATTGGACATTATTGGTGAACTGATCACACGATCCGAAACGTGGGCGATATGGACAAATATCTAAATTGTATGTTACGACATGAATTTTTA